ATAGGACCAAATCCTAAAAAAAGAGAGAGCCAAGTCTATAAATGACCATTCAAGGGTATCAAAAGCTTTCTCAAAGTCTAATAAAAGTAAAAGACCTGGAAGATTATCATCTTCTGCCTTTTCCATAACGTCAAAAATAAGCCTGGTACATTCTCCAATATACCTTCCCTTAATGAAACCTTGCTGTGTTTCACTGATTATATCCCCAAGAAAAGGTTTTATTCTATTTGCTAAAGCAGCTGATGCAATTTTTGTATCAACATTTAATAAAGTGATAGGTCTCCAGTTTTTTAATTGAAATTTTGATTTACCCTCTTTTGGAATGCATGTTATAACTCCTTGTTTTTGACTAAAAGAAAAAGTTCCAGTTTCTAAGCTATTATAAAAGATTTTATAATAAATTCATGGAGGTCTATCCAAAAGAATTTATAAAATTCGGTTGTAAATCCATCTATCCCTGGAGATTTACCATTTTTCATATTTTTCAATGTTTTTAAGCATTCATTAGCATTCAAATTACCATCTGCCTGTAACCTCTGTTCATCAGAAAGTTTGCGGATAAAAGGATTATTTTCATCAAAAAATAGATTTTTATGTTCTTGATGAAGAATAGGATTTGTTGAGGAGTACAATTCTTCATAAAATGATTTTTGTTCTTCTAAAATTTCACCTTGATTAAAAATTTCCTCTCCATTATCCTTAATTGATTTTGGAATTATTTTCTCATTATAATTTCTTTTTTCAAGATTACAAAAATAGTTAGTACATTTTTCACCTTCTGCTACCCATCTTGCCTTTGCTCTTGCCATAATACCTGTTACTATTTTCTCTCTGTGTTGAACAAGCTCATCTTCTAAAATTTTAATTTCTGTATTTCTTAATTCTGAGGGATCTATTTCATAATTTTCAAGTAATTTAGCTAACTTAAGTTCTAAATCATTTTCGGTTTTTGTGTTTTTCTGTTTTATATAACTGGCATATGATATTGTTTTCCCTCTTATCATACATTTTAAGAGTTCCCAAAACATGTGTGGGTTTACTGATAATTCTGTTTCTAGATCATTCCCAGGCAGAGAGTATTGATTTATAGTTTCCCTAATGCATTTTTTTTTTACTTCAGTTACATAGACCATATCATGTAGAAGGCTATTATTAAATTTCCATGTGCCTTTACTTTAATTTGATTGTAAAACTGTAAGGCAAAGACTGGAGAATGATCAGACCTATATCTTATATCCATGTCTACATTTTTTACAAATGGTTCAAGATCAGAGGAAATTAAAAAGTAATCCAAACGGCTTTGCTTAAGACAAGGTCCACGCCATGTATATCTTTTTGTATCCAGATTTACAGCTCGCCATATATCAACAAGGTCCAGGGACTCTATCATATCTAAAATTTTATCATGTGCTCTTATATTGTTTTTAGCACTATAATTGAGGTGTCCTTATCAAAGTCTTGCACCATATTCCAGTCTCCAGCCATAATTATGGAGCTATTTTTTATACCAGATACTAGACTTTTTATAGTTTCAAAAAAAATTGGAGAGTCCCCATTAGGACCATATATTGCAACAAGAGACAGTCGATAATCTTGAATGGTCATATCTAGAATGATAAAATTGCCTTCCTGATCCTTTTTTTCTTGATGAATAATAAATGTAAAACTATTTTTTATTAAGATTGCTACCCCTCTTGAGTGGCTGGACCCAGAGCTAAAGAATGCCTTATACCCCCACTCGTGTGCCCACTGTTTTTCTTTTTCTTCAGTGCAATGTGTATCTTTTAATATAATTATATCATATTTTTTCCTATATCTTGAAAAAAAATCTCTTCTCTTCACCTCCTCTGACAGACTCCTACAGTTAAGAGCACCTTTTTCAAACTAGTCATTTATGGAAAATGTTCAAAAGATGTATTATGTAATTATATCCAACAGTCAAATGTTTTCAGTATACTATGATGGTATTGTTGAGTTATTATGGTCCTGGTATAGTACGAATTTTGATAACAAATCTGCAAATAAATCATTTTCTCCTCATAAATTGTAGAAAACTCTAACCAAAATTAAATTTTTGTATACAATTCCCTTGAATCCCAGATATTGTGGGTGTAACAAATAAGATACAAATGAATAGTACGTCTTATTTGAAGGATTATTCAATGTGTGTCCCCCTTCCTGATAATTTGAGTGATCTATAAACATACAAATTGAAAAATACCCCCGTAGACGTCAAGATTATCGAGGTAAATATAAAACCAACTCCAATTCAAGAAGCAATTATTAAATACATATAATTTCCCATTGCATCCTTTCAATGGCAGAACATTTGACATTAAACCAAACTAAGTTAAAACAAAATGTCTTGGTTCCACTGCTTTTAAAACTTTCACATCTTATGTAAGCGAGAGAAGAAAAGACTATAAAACAGCTATAAAACGTTTTCAAACATACAGACAAAACACACATGTGATAATACTGTTGTGGATACACCAACTATCACCCTTTCATATCATCGCAATACAATTGTCAATAATTAGAATAATTGCATTTTAATGTTTCTTAATAAATAAAAAAGAATAGTTAAATAATGCATAATATTAAGTAGATTTTAAGTGCCAAATAAAGACTCTAGCCAACTTCCTTTTAACAATATATGTAATAATATCAAATGTATGGGCTTTTAACCTTTATGTGATCGTTTTATGATCATATTTGCTCAACTAAACTATAAATTCTGAAGTGAACACCGATTCTCAATCTAACGTTCAATAATAGATGGTAATACTATAATCTACATTTCGTATACGCTGGAGATCATATGACGGTTAATTTATCAAGGTAAAAAACTACTGTTTGTATCTACAGTGGTCAACAGCCTAATGATCTCCGATCAGGACACTCAACGGATAGTACGTCCACCACTGGCACGTTCAATAAAACATTATTTGATTGGTCCATGACTATAACTCTATTCAATAAAGAAATTAATTATTTGCTACTATAAATACATTTATCATCGTGTTTATAGGTCGAGTTGTCTCGCCTACCACAATCTTGATAGCTCGCAATTATATTATTTCTGTAAAAACAAATTATAGTTCCTATCTAAAACAAATTATATATACGCAACGAACAAAACAATTGAGGGAAGCATTTAATTATTTAATTGGGCGAGAGAAAAAACTGATTTGATTACAGAAATTTCTACTTCAACATTGTTATATCAAAATTAAATTTTCGCTAACATTTTCGGTAAAATTACCAAAATATTCTTCTTGAGTGGGTGGAATGTAGATATCTCGCCAAGCGAAGCGTGGCGAAAAATATTTTTTGGTAAAAGTTAGCGAGAAATTAAAGTTTCAAGCTAAAAGCGCCTAAATCCACCCTGACAACAATCTACAATCACCACAATTAACAATATATATATAGACACAGAGATATTAAATAATGATACAAATTAATAAACTAACCTTTCAGTTACTGGTTCAAGCGAATGGTTAGTTTATTGAGTATTTCTATTCTTCATTAAGAAAGAATCTAACCTGGGTTGCTTTCTTGGCCGTGCCATGATGAAATAACATATACCCAGCCGCGGGTAGGGCACATTCACCTACTTCGTGGTAAAGTGAGTTAGGAAGGTTTTGGATTATCAAAGAACCTGTTTATAAAAATCGCAACTACAATGTAACAATTGTTTTTTCTTTAACTAATAAAAGCCTATAATATTTGTCATCAAACGCAGCACTGCGTTTGACACCTTCCTTTGAAGTATTAATAACTTAAATAAACAGCAGGTCAGTTGATTAGTAATCACGTTGATCCTGTTAAACTTACTGTTTTATATATTAAAACGGATGGAATGCGGCGTCATTAATTTTCGTCGTCTCTTCAGATACTTTATTAAGCTGATGACAACCCATGCTTTGCAAATTCTAGGGGGGCGCACTCCCGACACCCCCTGAATCCGCCTAAAGTACAACCCAATGTTTAAACAATTGAACAGAGTAATTAGAAAGCATTGGAATATTATCGAAAGAGATGCAAGAGTCTTTATGAGAGACCCCCCATGATTGCATACAAAAAACACAAAAATCTCAAAGAATACCTGACATCTGCTAAACTGAAAGAAGAGAAATAACTCTAAAAAGTTATAACAAATGTATAACATCATTTCAAATATGTATATAAGATCACCTAGTGTCCGACTCCTTATACCTCTCTGTGTAATAACAATTGATTACTTTATTTCTGCATATAGGAAGAACAATACAACCTATATACAAGGCTAGAGTCGCTGATGAGCGTACGGCCTCGATCAAATTAAAATATATAATTGATCTAAATAGGTACCCGAAACACTTTGGCTGGTCGAATATATTGGAACGGATTGGGAGTGATCTCATTTCAATAATACTAATCAAGCTCAGGAATGTTTCATATACTTGTAGAAAAAAAGTCTTAATTTTGACTACTAGTACCCTGTATCAGAGACATATAATATATTATGTATTATATGTCTCTGCCTGTATCATTAAATGATTGACTTTTTTGGCATAAAAAATAGATCATCGCGCAGATCGTTGTTTGTACATTGTATATGGTATATGAGGACATACTATAAGATTCTTCAGATATTTTTGCCAAAGGACGTTATCAAAATTTACATTTAAAAATTATATTGGGATTCATAATTTTTTTTTTAGAAGAAGAAGATTTACAAAAGCTGGCATATTTTTGCTGAAATCGCTGTCAAGCGTAAATACAGTATAGATTTGTTTTCTTTCTTTGTAATTTTAAATATTACATAACATCTTTTTCTATTACATTTTGGTTTCTGTCTCATAGAAACTATTTAAAAAACGTTATAAAACCTCATGTTACTTCAAACATGTTTAAATCTCTTGTTATAAACTTATCTAAAGCGAGATAACTATGACACATCTCAAATATATAAAAACAGACACAGTTATCTCTCCTTAGCGTCCTCTCCGTAAACAAACGTGCTCAGCGATGACGTCCCCAACGATGATTAGCTGTTGACCTCTTATCGTTTGTATCTTAACGACAAACATGGCGCAGGTAGGTACAAAAACATGCGATATTTGTACGAGTGCCTTAAGTGAGTTTTATTGTACTGATTGTGAACAATATTTTTGTGGGTTTTGTAAAAGTTTACATAAGAGGCAAACAGGGACGAAAAATCATGTATTTCAGAGCAGTTTAGATGTGATCCCGGAAGTAAAATCAAAGTGTAAAGAACACAATGAAGATTTTATATTTCTCTGTTCTGGCTGTGAAGTGCCTGTTTGTAGAAAATGCATTGCAGGGAAACACAATGGTCATAACGTTGCTGATATTGACGATTCCGTCACCGTTTTGACTAAGAGCATTCAAAAAGCAATCGACATAAAATTAAATGTAGCAAACCAAAACTTAATGCAAATAGAGTGTGGAATCAAAGATTTTGATACAGACATTTACTCCATCATTAATGGAATAATAAAGGAAGCACGAAAAATGAAATCAATGATCGATCGTACAATCCAAAGACTGATCGACGATATAAATAATAAAACAAAGCAAGAACGAGAAAAGCTTACAAAAATTATCGTGGAAGCGCAAATGGGATTAGAAAAGGGAAAACTATTGGAACAAAAAGGAAAAGAACTTAACAAAACAAGACACGATGTTACCCTTCTTCAAAAGCTGAAAACCCTGAATAGTGATATATCTATGTTCGAGGTTGTAACCGTTCCACTTCTTCCTTCTATTAGATATACACCAAAATTAATATCTGAACAAAATTTGCTTGGTTTGTTTGGAACGTATAGTGTGAGGTTTGTATATTAAATACATAAAAGTTTAGACAATAGTACTTTACCAATGTTGAAATGTCATTAATCGATCAGGAAGACAAATCAAGGTAATAAACAAAAACTGAGGGAATCAGCTGAACTCTAAAAGAGCGATATCGGGCTTGTCGACAGGGTAAGTGTCTCTTGTCTGCTATGCATCAATGACTTTATTATGTAACCAGTGTAACATAGATTTCAAATGACGTAAGCCAAATGATATTTTCATGTTCTTCTTCATTCGCATAATCAGCTTGAGTAGATTGATATAATCAAGCATGTTAAATAGGAACTGTACTTTGTTAAGGTGTTTCAAAGAGGCAAAATCACGAAACCAACAACACAACTGATATTTAACCGTCCCATAGTTTCCTTAAATCACAATAAACATGACAAAATAATTAGAATACAAGATCTGATAATGTCGTGTCATGTTGCTGATTCAGAATTGTATTTTACTGTTATTTACGTATTCTTATCACAGTACCATGTATCTTGCAACGTTTCATATTCTTAAACATACAATTTGATAAAAAAAAATAATTAAACGAGGATAGACGTGGGAAAAGACCAAAATATATTACAAGTAGAAATTGCTGTTAAGCGTCTAACCAGTTGCAAAATACGATTTTGTTCAAAACACTATTGTAGCGACCAGACTTGTTCAGGAATGTGACAAGTAAATAACCAATATTTTCCGATAATGACTGTTTAAAGAGAGGTTTATTTAAATTGGGAAATAAATTATGTAATTGATTTATGTATATATTTTTGTTATATCATATTCTGAGTTATCTATTTTATTTTAAACGCATTTAAATCGTATTTTTACATCTTTTGGTTTCAGTGAAACTCATAGCATGGAAAATACACCATGGCCAACTTACAATAAAGAGACAAGGTGAACTTTCATAAAAAAACTGAGTATATAATTTGTAGTACAAACATTTTGTGAAAAACGTTAGCCATACAACTCGAGGTTCAATGGGCGAAATTTTAAGACGATTAACGAAACAGGGATGTATATTTTGCAATTTATAATGAATGAAATGAGGTAAAGATGTCTTATTCAACAACTCAACAACACTATAATACTGTCTTGTTCATGTGTTATAAGAAACAAAATCAAGAAACCAACAACACAACTGATATTTAACCGTCCCATAGTTTCCTTAATTCACAATAGACATGACAAAATAATTAAAATACAAGATATGATAATGTCGTGCTATGTTGTTGATTTAGAATTGTCTTTTACGTTTTCTGATCACAGTACCATGTATCTTGCAATGTTTTATATTCTTTAACAAACAATTTGATAAAAAAAAATGTTTAAATAAGGAGAGATGGTGAAAAAAGACCAAACAATATTTTAAGTAGAAATTGCTGTTTAGCGTCTCTTGAGTTGCAAAATACGATTTTGTCAAAGGCACTACATTAGAGACCAGTCTTGCTCAGGAATGTGACAAGTAAATTACCAATGTTTTCCGGTGATGACTGTTTAAAGAGAGGTTTAATTTTTGAATTATAAATTTCACACACCTTAGCAACAACAAACTTCACCTGCGTAATGCATATACATTTCCCAACTCATTCGGTATTCAAGAGTTTGCAGCTGCTACTCAGACTTTATGAAACGTCACCGGTGTCTGAGCAGAAAGTTGATGAACCAGAGTGATGTCAAAGAACGTCTCATCCTTTTTATAAAATACGTTCATCAGAAGATATCAATGCCTTGTTTATAAATATTCCGTATCAACTTCACAAATAATACATGAGGGTCTTGAAGTAAAGATTATAGGTATTGACGTTGTTTATCATCTTAATTACGTGTTATAGTGTCCATTTTATTTGTCTATGTTTATTTTTAAGGTGGATCATTGGTATATATTTCCTCAGATAGAATTTTCTTACATTTTGCCAAAATGAAGAATTTACTATGCTTTTTAAAAAAAATATAATAAAAAGTATATATGGGACACCGTGCTATTTTTCAAGCTACAAGTCGTGCAAAAGTGCCTTAATTTGTATAGATTGTTCATGAAAAAACACATTTTTGTGAATAAAAAGAAATCTATGAGATATATTTTTGAAATAAATTATGAGAAGATAGGTTTTATAATATGCTTTAAAAAAATAAAAAGAAAAAATGGTTTCACTGAACTTGTTTTCTTGCTACAAGTAAAAAATGAAAATTTCATTATCATTCCAATATAACATTTTTACTATAAGAGTTATTTCCCCTTAAACGGCCAAGATTAAAAATTGATTCTAAAAACCACAAATATTGGTATTTGTTCAAACATTTTGGCAATATTTATTCACTTATTTTTCTTTATACAAATAAACAGTCTTACACATAAATTGCAAATCTGTCTCAAAATTTGCAGATTTAGGCAAAGAACTAGACAGATTGTGTACTGCTATTGTACAATCCAAGATGGCGGTATACAGTGAATCTACCTTAACCTTTACTGTTTAGTCCATTTTTTTGGTAATATCCTTTTCGCGTGGCTCGGTATTTATACATCCCGCCATTGTGTTATTGTGCTATGGTCATATTTTGTATTCTTTTCCTTCATCTTTGCTTATGTGCTTTGTCTATAGAGTGTCTTTATGTCGTTTTGGATTTAAATGCGTTTAAAAATATATACATCCATCAATTACATAATTCATTTACCAATTTAAATAAAAAGTAAAATAACAAAAAGAACGAACTCCCAGGAAAATTCAAACCTGAAACTCCATTATCAAAGGACAAAATCAAAAGCCCAAACACATTAAACAACAACTGTTCCTGACTTGGTACAGGCATTTCCTTATGTAGAATAATGGCGATTTAAACTTGGTTTTATAGCTAGCTAAACCTCTCACTTGTATGACAGTCGCATAAAATTCCATTATATTGACAACAACGTGTGAAAAAACTAACAGCCATAATAGGTAAAAATGTCAAAAATTAGGGAACAGCGGTCAACATTGTGTCATAATCTAAATCACTATAACATCAAACAACTATGTCAACAAAAAATCCAAAACGACATAAAGACACTCTATAGACAAAGCACATAAGCAAAGATGAAGGAAAAGAATACAAAATATGACCATAGCACAATAACACAATGGCGGGATGTATAAATACCGAGCCACGCGAAAAGGATATTACCAAAAAAATGGACTAAACAGTAAAGGTTAAGGTAGATTCACTGTATACCGCCATCTTGGATTGTACAATAGCAGTACACAATCTGTCTAGTTCTTTGCCTAAATCTGCAAATTTTGAGACAGATTTGCAATTTATGTGTAAGACTGTTTATTTGTATAAAGAAAAATAAGTGAATAAATCTTTTGGTTTCAGTGAAACTCATAGCATGGAAAAAACACCATGGCCAACCTACAATAAAGGGAAAAGGTGATTTACAAAAAAACACTCAGTCGGATGGTATCAAGACCTTGTTGATAAATATTCCGTATCAACTTCACAAATAATACACGATGGTCTTGAAGTATAGATTCTGCGTACTGACGTTGTTTATCATCTTAATAACGTGTTATAGTATTCTTTTATTTGTCTTTATTAATATTACTTTTACGGTTAAGTCTGTTTTTTGTGATATCCATTTGATGTGACTCTGTACTTATGTATCCCATCATACTTTGAACGACAAATTTATTTTTATTAATATTACTTTTACTGTTAATTCTGTTTTTTTTTGTGATATCCATTTGACGTGACTCTGTACGTATGTATCCCGTCATACTTTGAACGACAAAATTATTTTATATCTACCTATGTGACGTCAAACGCGCGATTCTACGCCAGTACTTAAAACCTTCCATCCTTTATGGGTGGATTTTACATAGATAAATAAAATCGTATAAAAAAAGCAAAATGAGGATGTTAAAATTTGATGTATGCCTTTTTGTGATTCTTTGTTACATTTGTTTGTTTTTATAGTGATTAAGATGATAACACAATGTTGACTGCTGTACCCCTATTTTTGATATTTTTACCTATTTTGTCTGTTTGTTTGGTTCACGCATCGTTGACAATATAATGGAATTTGATGCGACTGTCTTACAAGTGAGAGGTTTCGCTAGCTATAAAACCAGGTTCAATCAACCATTTTCTACATAAGAAAATGCCTGTACCAAGTCAGGAATATGACAGTTGTTATCCATTCGTTTGATGTGTTTGAGCTTTTGATTTTGCCATTTGATTAGGGACTTTCCTTTTTGAATTTTCCTAGGAGTTCAGTATTTTTGTGATTTTACTTTTTTCAGTACAATCTATAGCACAAACATTTTTGTGACAAATTTTAGCCATACAATCGAGGTTCAATGGGTGATGTTTTAAGACGATTGATGAAACATGGGTTGTATCTTTTGCAATTTATGATGGATGAAATGAAGTTAAGATTTCTTATACAGCAACTCAACAACACTATAATATATGGGACATATCTCTTTATTCTTCACTATCCCTAAAATCTTTTAAGGAAATGCGATCAAATTTCTTTGGTGGTTTGGGATAACATGGTGTATTTAAAGTAGATCATACATGGTATATGCTGAGGTGTTTTTGCACTTATACTCCTAAATTTACTCTGGAATGATTATTTTGCATTTTTATTTTCAAACGGAAAGTAAACTTTAATCTTAGACCAGCGAGAGCTTATTAAAAATAATAACACATTCTTGATAACAGTCTTTATATTTTTATTTTTTTTTACAAACGCCTATGTGAATATTTGTCAAGCTTTTACATGTTGATCTTAAAAGGGTTTCTTTGTGAGTTGAAATACAGTTGGCATTTCACAATATGTTTGTGTATTAGTAATATTAGATTGGAAACGAATAAGGAAGATCAATATTTTGTCACAAAATATCTATATAATAACATGTTCTGATTGTTTATAAAGCTTTCTTAAATTTAACTAATTTTGAATGTTTGCTTTAATTTAGTAATCGATGAATAATAATAATAAAAAAAACGTATACTCGAAACATTGCTTATTTTATGCAAAAAAAGTAGCAACGTGCAGTAATATTTATAAGTATTAGCTGAAAATATCGGCCGATTTATAGATTAATTTGAATCTTTAAAACATACGTGTAAAATTGTCAAATATGGAACGTTATATGTATAAAGCAATGATGTGTATTCACATTATATTTTACAGAAGTGAAGAGCAGCAGGGAATAATGACAGCAGGAAAGCTTTACAGATGCAACAACTGCGGGTAACTGTTTAGTTTTATAAGAAACATTTTCATCAACACAAGCAGAATAACATTGACACTCATTCTAATCATGGGGTCCAAATACTGTTCTTAATCTGTTATTTGTAGTATTTCAAATGTTTGTTTCTTCTATCCTCGGCCTGTTGCTCTTCTTGATTGTACAAGTCCTACATTTTCTTATTTGTAAATGGCGAATCTCCTTTCTTACAGAAGTTTTCCCCCCTCTTAGTGCGAGAAGATTGATGCACAAATCCACGCACGCATTAGACCAATAAAAAATAAGAGGATAAACAAAAAACATGAATAGACGTAGAGCAAATATTATCAGCAAAAATGGATCAAATTCGAAAAAATCTCTTCATAGCATACAACCTGATATTGAGCAAACCTGGTCTGTTTTCGGGTGCCAATGGTAGGTTTTAATTTGTTTGTCCTATGAGTGGCATCCGTGGTGCTGGTAATACACTAAGTATAAAACGTTTAGAAACTTAAGGATTTGTTAACGGGTGTAGCATTTGTTGGTGTTTATTGTTGTCCTTTGTTAGCTTAAATTGACCTCTACTTGAATTATCATTACTGTGTTTAGTAGTCTCACACTTTCGTTTTCAAGTTTTAATCATCTCATGGTATTCTTGCTACGCATCAGATTTTCTATAGCACATAGATGATTTTGAGTTATAAAAATAAAGATACAGATTATAACGAGCTATGTGAGATATTACAACAAACCAACGAAAAAAATATCAAAATAAGGTCAAAGTAACAACACGTCGTCTTCATCAATAAATTACTAACTAACACACGCATATCGTACCGTAACTGCACATTCCACAATAAGAAACTTCAACCAAGAATGAAAGGAAAATCACCTACAAAAAAGGGAAAGTTTGCCACTCACCCTGACTATTGCCAAATAAATTTGGAATATGTGGAATAAATTGATAATTGCAACAACACAGATATTGCATAATAATTACGAATTTTAACATTAACACCAAGACCATACTGACCAACCTCCTTAAACCACCACCCAACACCCGATTGATTATATTATCTAATACATTCTATCATGTATTGAATATGCTTTGATAATTGTTCAATCCTCAGATTACCTTCCAAATCTGGGGACTAATGATAATACTGAATATCCATGTTTTGCATTTAGAAAATGATGTACAAGATATTGAAGCATGTATACAATTTTGTTGATTATGCATATTCACTATAAAATACAATCCGAGATATTAGCATAGAATAGCCTTAAGATACCATATGTGCATGCGGACACATAACTTGTTTGATGTGGACTGGGAGCAGAATACATCAAAGCAAGGCAACATGTACAAGAACAAGTTAAATGAGAGTAGCATGTCAACACTGAGACAAATAGTTGATTTCCCAACAAGAGGTCATAACACATTAAATATCTTCGCAACAAATAGGCCAACACTTGTAATACATATAAATCGTTGAGTGGAGTTAGCGATCATGAAATTGTCAGAGGAGAATCAAAGATGTATGTCAAATATAACGGTTATCCAATGTGTCTAGACTACTTAGACTATTCTTGTGACGACTTTTCCCAATTACAGCAGTGGTTTCAATGACATGTGTCTTTACTTAAAAAGGACAATGGCCGGTTAATAGAAAAGATTTTGTCAAAAAGACGACTTCTAGAAATTGACAATGAGAGTCGGTTGAAAACAAAACTTTCGAAAAAAGAGATGATGTCAGCTTCCCAAATGTGAACTTTCCGTATCTATGTAGCAACATTCCAGCAGCTCCTTCATACGGAGTATATATCTCCCAGTTGATACGATATTCCAGGGCTTGTATTTCCTGTCATGATTTCCTTGATAGAGGGTTGCTGCTCACAAGGAAACTATTAAACAAAGAGTTGCAAGCGGGGAAGTTGGAATCATCCCTTCGTTAATTTTACGGATGCCATCACGAGTTGGATGGCCGTTATGGAATATCCGTTTCACAGATGATAGCGGATATGTTCCAAATATCGTAACTATAATCCCGTCCCCTTTTCCCCGAATGTAACCTACCGAATTAGACTTATTACCGAATTTGTACTAACATGAGCAACACGACGTGTGCCACATGTGGAGCAGGATCTGCTTACCCTTCCGGAGCACCTGACATCACCCCAGTTTTTGGTGGGGTTCGTGTTGCTCAGTCTTTAGATTTTGTCGGTTTGTCTTTTTTCTCTTTAGCCGTGGCGTTGTCAGTTTATTTTCGACTTATGAGTTTGAATGTCCCTTTTGGTATCTTTCGCCTCTCTTCTCGTAGCTTTTGAATATTGCTGTTTTTTGGATTCAGTTATCGTGATGTTGACATGAAATATCAATGATACATCATTTTCTGTTTTACTCTTTATATAATAATACAATTAATTAAACAAACTAACATTTTTCTACTCCAAGGTATATTTTGCCTAAGCCAGATTTGACATATCTATTTGGGATATATGGTTCTATGCTCTTTAACTTCGTTTTTAGTTTGGCATTGCAACTGTTTAAATTCGAACTCCACTGATGAGTATCACATATACCAAAGGTCTGGCGTACTTTAATCATACACGTTGTATCTTTGATGAGGTTTTTATCAAGTCACGTCAAACTCCAAGTATTGAAAAACACTTTATATCTCGTTTTTTTTTATAATTTTATAGGCATGAGAAAATTGTTCCAATTGACAGGTAAGTCAATAAAACGTCCATTTTTTGTGAATTTGAATATCAATCTTGTTCGTGTTACTTTGCATAAACCAAAATGTTAAATTTCTATGACAGATGAATACAGTTTTCAAATATTTGGTGTTCGAAGCGCCTCTCTGAATCTAACCCCATCAGAAACAGCCAAACTTAAACATTTGAAAACCATGGATGTATAAATATGTAGCAACAATAGGAGCTATAATATGACAAAAAAATAAAAAAAGAATTTAAAAATAATATATATGAGTATACGTCAATGATATAACAACCCAACAACACAGTTAACCGAAAGACATCAAGAGATCAACGCAATCTCTCAATAAAGAGAATTTCACTTATTGCGTTTATTTGAAAATTTACAAAAACGTGTTATATTAATATAGCACTGTTGACCAGATAATTGATTACCTAATATTGTTTCAATAGATCAGAGAGGATATTGATAGACGCTTTTTTTATTAAAAAAATTGAAAAAAAAACTATTACATCCAAGAAAATAATCAAAGTCTATACCATATTACATTTCAAATACTGTTTTCGTTTACAGTTTTGAAAATATTTTATATCTATGTAAAAGTTCTAAAAATGTCTGGTTTAAGCTTTATGTTTGTTTGCTTCATTGCTAAATCCTTCTCTGCCGTACGTTTAAATCGGTCCGTTTGATTTGAAAGGAATCTTATATGCCAGGGAATAAACCCTATATTGTTGTAAAGTAATTGTCCAACTTTACCACACGCCCGCAAATCGAGAACTTAGGGAAAGTAAGATTTATTGAGTATTGCAATTGTAAAGTTCAAACTTCAACAGTAAGAATCCAGGACATCATTGAAACACATGCCTTGAACATCTATGAATTGGATATCTGGTGTTTCCCATATGCACGCACTATTTGATTGATTCATTCTTTTTTATTAGAATTAGTAACCAAATAGTTATCATCAGATGTCTTCCATGATAGTCACATCTGTATTTTATGAGCTTGTATCGATATACCGTGTTCGTTATATGTATTATTGCTTACGACCAAACGTTTTCCAAGCGAGCTTTGAATCCTTGCTTTTAAAATGTGACCCACTGATGCTCTGTGATGATATAAAATTTGTTATTGAAAATAGAGCAAACAGGTGCGACTTCATTACTATCGTTTTTTTTTTTTTTAATTTTCAGTTCCATGTAAGTATCCTTAAGAAAGAAAACACAGGTATATTATGATAAGATGGTGAAGGACAATCTCCTTTGAGTTTCATTTCCATTACAATTCATAAGAATGACAAAAATTAGAAACCATAATCGTACGGTAAAGATGCCATACAAAATTCCCTACCATCATCGTACGCTGTGGTGGCCGTAAATAATGTTCTACCATTATTGTACGATGTGGAGGTTGTACTAAACTTTCTACCATCATCGTACGCTGTTGGGGCCGTAAATAATTTCCTAACATCATCGTTCGATGGGGAGGTCGTTCAAAGTTCCTTACTATCATCGTTTGGTGTGGATGTCGTATAAATTTCCTGTCATCATTGTAAAGTAGGGAGGTCGTATAAAGTTACTTTTATCATCATACAGTGTGGATGCTGTACAAAATTCCCTATCATTGTGGAGGCTGTTAGATGGTTAAGGACATAAAAATATAATAATCAACTTTAAGTTCCTTTCCCATCCAAATTCATATGTAATGAAAAGTATTTAAAACCATAATTGTACGGTGAGGGATGCCGTACAAATTTCCTACCACCACCGTACGGTGTAGGTCGAACATAATTTCCTATCATCACCACACGCTATGGAGGCCGTAATAAATTCCTATTATACCATGATCGTATAGTGTGGAGGTTGTGCAAAAGATCCGACCATCATCGTAACCTGGGCCGTACAAAATTTCCTTCCGTCATCGCACAGTGTAGTTTCAATGGTTGATTGTCAAGTGAATGTAGGGATTTTGGGTTATCGGTTTATACACAACCTTTCATTTCCATTATGAAACAATGATTAACGAAGCTCAGCCTTCCTGTTCTTGGAAGCAATGTTGACTATTTGTAATCAAATAACAAGTTCATTACTTTTGTGTATGGTTGGGTACTATTTACAACCCGACTTTACCAGTTAGCCATAGTCAACAACCGATGCCTAATTTAATATGCAGAATTTTATTAACAAGTGAAAGAATCAACTTCTATTTCATAATTTACGAATTTTTTTTTTTTTTTTTTTTTCAGATATGGGTAAGTATCATTACATAGAAAAGATTCAAAAAGTTCCTAAACCAAACAATAATATTTCGCTTTAAACAGTATTTCTAACCCGATAAACATGTATAATGCTGATTCCATGGAACACGAAACGAAATTCTTTCAAACTGATATCACACAATTTAGATTTTCAACTATAGTAAAAACAAATGAATCAAACAAATTGCAATGTCTGGTTCCAATTAAACCAATGACTATCTGCTTTTAATGAGAATAATAAAACAATGACTGCACTAGTACAGCCATCTCAGTAAAGATTTCTGTTAATCAGTTAAACAAGTCCAAGGAATCTGCAAAGTAATAAATTGCATGTTACTATGTTATGTACTTTTATCTCAAATTTCGTTATTCACTTATCATGAAATTGTAAACTACGAGGGAGACATGGGGTCCTATAGACATTTATATATGTTTATTATTAATTTGGTTAACTGTTAATTATTAACTTCATTGAAATGTACGTAATAATCAAGTGAGTAAATTTCGTTTTTAATTACTTCATAAATAAACAGCAAGTTAGGTGTCGAATTCATGTTCACCGATTCGACCCAAAATATCACATTTGATTTATAACATACTAAAACATATATTCAAATTACAGATAGTAAAAAAGAAACCATTAACTATGCATGGACTAGTTATAATGGATCAGCATTTCGTGCGTATTTTAGATTAGAAGCCATCTAATTATCCATCGAGATGACCTCCGAAGACTGCCGATGGTCATATAGCTCGATGTAAACATAAATATTAACATGAATAGACAGAAACGCACGTGCAATCGTATTATAACGATTTTTTTCAAGGTCTGTTTGTTTTCATGTTACAGGTTAAAACTTTATGTAATCAACGTTTTATCGATATAGCAATATTTTTTGTGGGCCGGATCAGTCAACGAAAGGGTGATTCCTGGTGTCTTTTTTTTCACTTTTCAATGTTGTCATTAAAGGGGCATTAGCTGTCGAATTCATGTTCACCGATTCGACCCAAATTATCATATTTGATTAATAATATACTAAAACATATATCCAAATTATATATCAAATTGTTTTTTTGTACGATCTGACGAATGCATCATTTTGCATTACACTGTTATGAGTTTGATATTCTATACACTCACAGTAGTAGTAGAATAATGAATACACGGCCAACCACGACGCATTGTAACCAATCAGAAATTTATAATTTTTTTGTATTCTTTGTATTCATTATTTTTGATTTTGAGTTTGAATCATCCTTTAATGAATGAGAACGATAACCATATGATAAACATGCGCAACCCATCTCCACTGAAGGTTAAAATAAAGGTTGCATGACTACGGATTCAAATGAGGTTGAATTATTGACTTTCAAGCAAATAATACATCTGCGATGTTTTTTTAACCTATTTTGATAAAATTGAAACAAAGTGACTGCTAATAGTGAAATATTGTTTCTATATTTCACTTTTATAAATGTTTGAAACAAAAACAAAATCATATTTAAAAGTGTTGTCTATTTCGTAGCAAATGCCCCTTTAGGAATTTTTTGTTGTGCTTTTGATATGTACGATCTGACAAATGCATCATTTTGCATTACACTGTTTTAAGTTTGATATTCTATACACACACAGTAGTAGTAGAATAGTGAATACACGGTCAACCACGACGCATTGTAACCAATCAGAACTTTATAACTCTTTTGCATTCTTTGCATTCATTTTTTTTTTTCATTTTGAGTTTGAATCATCCTTATCATACAAATATATAATGCATTGCATAATTTTCATCAAACAGGATAGATCAGTCATTGGTATCAAATTAATTTTATTACATTGATATTCTTAATAATATTGGAAAACTTAAGGAATTTCATTTCATTTCATGATAAGAAGGCCATCTCTCATTCAATATGATACCTTTTTAATTAAAAGATGTTTAAACGTCGTACAAATTTTTTTTTAAAAATGGATTTGTTTTTGACCCATGCATCCATATCGTTCTTGACATGAATTATTGAATAATAGTTTTAATTCGTTTTGAAAACGAAAAACGCAGGCGTTCAATCAAGATGCAACAATGGTTAAGGGATATTAAACAATAAATGATCTGTTTTATATTAAGGTGTTGCTTCTTATATCTTTTATATTGTACGAGTGCTTTGTTAATTAGATTAACTGAAGTATGAAAACTTGAAGGTCGTACAATGTTGATCATTTGTAATTGTCATTTATCAATTATTTATTCATTGGTTTCACATCAAGTTTTAAAGATTATTATTTGAAAACATTTTGATATATATTCCTGGACAATAATTCTTTTTTAAACCATATAGTAACGTATACGATGAAAAAGATAGCAATCTGATGGAAAATTAGTTTTATGTTCGTAGCGACAAAAAAAAGCAACCTGCAATGCGGTAGTGGTATGACGTAAATACTACTGCACACTCCATGTATAGTCAATTAGTAGTTATTACCACATCTCAGCTTAAGGCTTCTTCTGTGGATTTGATGGTTTATACTTTGTATTGCATACATCAACAACCAAAAAACTCTCACATTTCGGTTCGTTTGTTGAAAGAAGGAAGTGTTCTTCAATCATCTCTCTGTCTATTTGACCTGCTCCCCGACAACTGTTTATAACTTATTATCAATTTTTGTAATAGTGATTTAAAAATAATGCAATAAATATTTCTGGGAGGTGAAATTTCTTTTTGTGTTGAAAACAAATTATGCGTTTTTAATTATCTTTTTAATTAAGTTGACAGTCAAGACTTTTCGACTTTCTACATTTTCACTTCCTCAAGATCTTAACTTTTTGTCCCTACGGGTATCATCAGTCCTAATTTATGACATACACTTCTAAAGTTTTCCATTAATAATTGATAAATTATCAAAGTTGACATAAGGTTACTTTGGCTATTACTATTAGGTCTCTATTTGTTATATAACTCGTCGTGTATTTATACACATTTTGCTTTCAAAATTTCGTATATCGACATGCTGGATGAAAGTATACACCGAAAAACACTTCGGCCGCACTATTTTTTTAACCCAAATTGAACTTTTCTAATTTAATAAAATCGTCCTACAAAAAATCTATTGTGAATCTCTATTTTTACTGCAATCCTTATAAAGCCTTCTTCGGTAAAGCAAAAGATAACCCTGCACGATATACCTATTAGAATTTTGAAAAATTTATGTGGTAGATATCAAAGGAATAGTCAAGCTCATGAGTCAAAAAACGACCTGACATTTTCAAAAAAGAAAAAATGACCAAAAGTAAAAATATAGTCTATAAAGCACAGCATTGCTAAAGACTGAGCAACAAGAACCCCACCAAAAATTGGGGATTATGTCAATTTCTACGAAAGGGTGAGCAGATCTCAAGTGATAAAATTAAAGATGTTATTTTTCTCTTTGACAACATCCCTGTACGTTTCAGCGATAAGGTTCATCGGCAGGTTGTAGTTTTTAATTTGGGTAAAAGTATGCCCTTTTAATAACAGACTGTTCATACGAATCGTAATTCATGACCAAACCAAATACAAATCCGTTTCAATTGCATTTAATAGAGAAGTTTAATAGCACTTTCCCTTATCTTCATTATAGGTAAGTTTCGTTACTTCAAATACTTATTTTCTAGCACAGATACAAAGATTTAATTTGGCATTTCGACTGTAACAGTAGAAATATAATTAGACACGAGATATATCATCTGAATTTCTACAGTGCTGTTCTTTAAAAAGTTCATTAATAAAGATTTGATTCATTTCAACTCATTGATCCTTTGTGCATTTATCTAATTTTAAAAAAATTTATCGGTGATTTGTTCATAAAAATTGCCACATAAAAATCTACATACATAATCAAGTCAAATGTCATTTTAAAAAAAGAGGAGTCCATGAACTCGTTTTCAAGTTAAATCAGTCTGATTGATAAAAATCATCGCAAATGCATCTTTTCCAGATAAATCACAGTTTGGCGTCGTGAAAAATAACATTTTCTTTAGCAACGTCGTTACCTCCCCTGTGACTGTATCGTATGCCCTTAACGAGTAAAGTCATTTACAAATAATTTAAAGATTAATTTCAATGTTGTACTGGTACACCTTTGTCCTATTTCTGGGGAATGTTGGACACTCACAAACATATTTTGTACATAAATCAGACCGTTGGTTTGATAGTTTGAATTGTTTTGCATTTTATCATGACGGGGCTTTTTAACACTTGATATGCGGTCTGGGTTTTTGTTCATTTTTGAAGGCCGTACGGTGACCTATAGTTGCTAACATTTACGTCATTTTTACTCTGAATGGTAGTTTTATCATTTGGAATCATACCGCATCTCCGTATTTAGTATCTGTCCTACATATTTTTTTATATGTCTTTTCTAAGCCAGAAGCCTATAGTCTTGTTGTCGTCGTTGGTTACAGTCTGCTATAATTGTTTTTCTTTATATTTGCTTTATTCATGGCGTTGGTTTTTATTTTGAATGATTTAAAACTTTGTAATCCCGGGGGCCTTTTATAACTATACGGTATTTGTTTTGCTTATTGTTGAGAACCGTACGTGGAGCTTTTTTTATATATCATCGTCCTTTGGTGTTTCATGGAACATTATCGCATTAACAATCCTACCGAATATCCTTATTGTTATACAATCAGGTTAAAAGAGGAGAGACCCAGTATACAAAAGCGAAATAGAAAATCACACTACTAAAAGACAGACATCAGCTTCTATTATATCTTAAGAATGATTTCCTGTGATTAAGCTTATTATGTTTTTGTATTGTGAAACCGGAAGTATCTCTTTCAAACTATTTCAAAATTATAAACTTTTTTTTTTTCTAAGTTTTTACACCTGTTTAATGAAAAACCAAATTGACTTTAATATTTAATATGTTTTAAGGTCAAAAACTACGGATTTGTTGATCTAAAAGAGTAACATCTTTTTTCAAATGTTATTAACAAAGTTTTTTTTAAATAATCAAGGTGACGATCGAACATAATAATGTCGTTAAAATGGGGTTACATATCTTCAGACCATCAGAATCCTAAAACTGTGATGACATATTACAAAAAGTTCATAGTTTATTAATTAAACTATTTGATCCCCTACGGAAAAGTTGATCTCCGATTTTTGGCTGTTCTGTTTTGGTTTATACTTTCTAAATTAGTGTATACATTAAATACTACAAAGTTTTATTCTCAAGGATAGCGTACAAGTGAAATCATAAGTCGAAAACAAATGACAACTCCATGGCAAAACACGAAAATACAAACAGTTTTCAAAACACAACATAGAAAAAAATAAAGACTGAGCAACACGAAACCCAACAAAAAATCGGAAGTTATATCATGTGATCCGGAAGGGTAAACAGATGCAGCTCTATTCGGTGGCTATTCTAATTCGGCGATGTCACATTCAAGGAAAAGAGAACGGTGTTGTGGTTATAACAATTAGAACATATCCTTCGTCATCTGTAACAAATAATGGTCAACCAACTCGTACAAAATTTATTCCAGATATACCTGTTCTACGTACGGATATCATATCATAAATTTTCATTACGATGAAGTATGAAAGAGTTTTCTGTAGCGCTTTCAATTTTCCGTTCTTTTAC